ATTCATTTTTACTTCGTGAAAGTAATTTTGTTTTGCCTGGAATTTAATTACAAACGCACGAATTCAAGTCTGAAAAACCCCACGTACGTTACCCATGCAATCATTTAGGCTTTTTCTTCTTTCACTTTAATGTTTTTTTCTTTTCCCCCGAGTTAATTGACATTTACGTGCGACACCACTATATTCACGGGACACGTAATGACGTTTGCATGCCATAACCCAGCCACGGTAAACGTGGAAGCGGTGGGCCCAACGCCCCCCTGTTTACCGGACGCATGTGCGTTATAGTCTTCGTAGGTCGTAAACATTCGAAGGCTATGATTTAAAGCTTTCGCGACTGCAGGGATTCATATTCTTGGTTCTTTCGGTAAAGTCACGTAGAAGGGAAATAATAGAATAAAATGAAAAAAATAAAACAATAGAATTTTATTGTTTTAGGTGTTTATTATTTTAAAAAATATATAAAACAATATAATTTTATTGTTTTATATGTTTATTATTTTATTGTTTCCCTTCTACGTGACTTTACCAAAAGAACCAATAATATTCGAATGCTTATTCTAAATTAAATGCTAAGTTGTATTGTTATCAATTGCGATCCACGCGTGTTTACCCGCTGAAGCGTCACTCAGTCTGAAGGCTCTCTTTGAGGAGGTCCCTCCCAAGTTTGATGTTGCGATTAGGGGGTGATGTTTGAACCGTGTTGTATGTCGAACTTCTTTCGCACCGTACGTAGACAACCGTGCTAATGGGAGTTGCGGGGGGAAACAACAAATTATGGTTCTCTATGTGAGTCGGTGGGTCTCTGTGTGAGTCTGTGGGTCTCTGTGTGAGTCTATAGATCTCTGTGTGAGTCTATGGGTCTCTGTGTGAGTCTGTGGGTCTATGTGTGAGTCTATGGGTCTTTGTGTGAGTCTGGATCTCTGTGTGTCAATTTGTCTCTGTGTGAATCTTTGGATCTCTGTGTGAGTCTGTGGGTCTCTGTGTGAGTCTATGGATCTCTGTGTGAGTCTATGGGTCTCTGTGTGAGTCTGTGGGTCTCTGTGTGAGTTTGTGGGCCTCTGTGTGAGTCTATGGATCTCTGTGTGAGTCTGTGGGTCTCTGTGTGAGTCTATGGGTCTCTGTGTGAGTCTGTGGGTCTCTGTGTGAGTCTGTGGGCCTCTGTGTGAGTCTGTGGGTCTCTGTGTGAGTCTATGGGTCTCTGTGTGAGTCTCTGGGGCTCTGTGTGAGTCTATGGGTCTCTCTGTGAGTCTGTGGGTCTCTGTGTGAGTCTATGGATCTCTGTGAGTCTATGGGTCTCTGTGTGAGTCTGTGGGTCTCTGTGCAAGTCTATGAGTCTCTGTGTAAGTCTATGGGTCTCTGTGTAAGTCTATGGGTCTCTGTGTGAGTCTCTGTATGTTGAACTTCTTTCGCACCGTACGTAGCCAACCGTGCTAATCGTAAGTTGCGGGGTGAAAGGCAACAAACTAAACACAAAGCAGTTCTAAAACAAAACAGTGATGCGGTTCACTTTCATTGCGATGCTGACACCACCTTGTGCCGCACAGGGACAGCTGCCACTGAGGGTCCCCAAATAATATTTGAAATGAGATGTTAGGTAAGGGGCTGTGAGATGCTGAGCCATTCAAGCAAGCGTTACGTGAATACAAATAATATTGTCACTGAGGTCCCCTACATTGATGAGTGGCATGAAGCATCATTTTATGCTGCATACATATTTTTACGTGGATAGACATTGTCCGCCTATCTATCCGAGTCTCATGGATCATTGAAAGTGAGGGTCCTGCTACATTGGGATGTTGGGCAAAGTTCCATTCGTGACAGTTTGCCTTTCTGTGCGAGGAATCCAGAGACCCCGGGGGAAACCCAGCGTTGTGCTGGTGCTGTACACGAGGGGGGAGACACTCAGGGAGACAGAGACACAGAGACAACCCAGCGTTGTGCTGATGCTGTACACGAAGGGGGAGACACTCAGGGAGACAGAGACACAGAGACAACCCAGCGCTGTGCTGCTGCTGTGCACGAAGGGGGAGACACTCAGGGAGACAGAGACACAGAGACAACCCAGCGCTGTGCTGCTGCTGTACACGAAGGGGGAGACACTCAGGGAGACAGAGACCTCAGAGACAACCCAGCGCTGTGCTGCTGCTGTGCACGAGGGGGGAGACACTCCGGGAGACAGAGACACAGAGACAACCCAGTGCTGTGCTGCTGCTGTACACGAGGGGAAGAACACGGAGTAAACCCATCATTGCTTGTGTGTAATTTCATTTGAGTAATTCGTAGGTAAATTGTTGAGTCTTGGAACGTGATTTTACCAATACCCAGTGACGTTGCTATGGTGGGGGTTTGTTGTTGAGGAAGCCCAATGCAGAACAGGGAAGAAAGGACGTAAAAAGCCACACATAAAGAGCGGGAATCGAACCCTGGTGCTTCTTGCTATGAGCCAAAGGCGTTATACCACTGCTCTGCCAACCGAGCAGGCTCCTCATCAGCGAGCCACAGTTGAGGAACTCTTTAAGTAATCTCCGTTCTGATTGGAAACACCGCGACAAAGCACGGATAATTCAACACCCGGCTGAAGCGCAGTGACAAATGTCTCGGGCAACGGATATCGCGACAATTGTCATGGAGGACGTCTATGGTGCAGTGTTGAGTCTATGGGGTAGTGTTGAGTCTATGGGGTAGTGTTGAGTCTATGGGGTAGTGTTGAGTCTATGGGGTAGTGTTGAGTCTATGGGGCAGTGTTGAGTCTATGGGGCAGTGTTGAGTCTATGGGGGAGTGTTGAGTCTATGGGGCAGTGTTGAGTCTATGGGGCAGTGTTGAGTCTATGGGGCAGTGTTGAGTCTATGGGGCAGTGTTGAGTCTATGGGGCAGTGTTGGGTCTATGGTGCAGTGTTGAGTTTATAGGGCAGTGTTGGGTCTATGGGCAGTGTTGAGTCTATGGGGCAGTGTTGGGTCTATGGTGCAGTGTTGAGTCTATGGGGCAGTGTTGAGTCTATGGGGCAGTGTTGAGTCTATGGGGCAGTGTTGAGTCTATGGGGCAGTGTTGGGTCTATGGTGCAGTGTTGAGTTTATAGGGCAGTGTTGGGTCTATGGGCAGTGTTGAGTCTATGGGGCAGTGTTGGGTCTATGGTGCAGTGTTGAGTCTATGGGGCAGTGTTGAGTCTATGGGGCAGTGTTGAGTCTATGGGGCAGTGTTGAGTCTATGGGGCAGTGTTGAGTCTATGGGGCAGTGTTGAGTCTATGGGGCAGTGTTGAGTCTATGGGGCAGTGTTGGGTCTATGGTGCAGTGTTGAGTTTATAGGGCAGTGTTGGGTCTATGGGCAGTGTTGAGTCTATGGGGCAGTGTTGGGTCTATGGTGCAGTGTTGAGTCTATGGGGCAGTGTTGAGTCTATGGGGCAGTGTTGAGTCTATGGGGCAGTGTTGAGTCTATGGGGCAGTGTTGAGTCTATGGGGCAGTGTTGAGTCTATGGGGCAGTGTTGGGTCTATGGTGCAGTGTTGAGTTTATAGGGCAGTGTTGGGTCTATGGGCAGTGTTGAGTCTATGGGGCAGTGTTGGGTCTATGGTGCAGTGTTGAGTCTATGGGGCAGTGTTGAGTCTATGGGGCAGTGTTGAGTCTATGGGGCAGTGTTGAGTCTATGGGGCAGTGTTGGGTCTATGGTGCAGTGTTGAGTCTATGGGGCAGTATTGGGTCTATGGTGCAGTGTTGAGTCTATGGGGCAGTGTTGAGTCTATGGGGCAGTGTTGAGTCTATGGGGCAGTGTTGAGTCTATGGTGCAGTAGAGAAGAGGCGAGGTTGAGGAGGGGGACTGCTTCATGTACAGGGGGAGTTTATTCCAGTGGGGGAGTGCACGGAGACATCGCGTTGACTCCTCTGAGAATATTCTTAGTTTTTTCGGTAAAGTCACGTTGAAGAGAAACAACAAAATAACAAAATATATATAAAACAATAAAAAATTCTCACGACGTTTCGACCATAACTCAAACGGTCATCATCAGGTGTGTTGGTTTGCATAAATTTATTTTTAAACGCATCACAAGGAGGTAATGAAGAACCGTGGACAAGACTGACGATGAAATGGCAGCCAAAGGAGGGGAACAAAGACAAAGATTCCCCGTGTAACCTTAACGGACTGTAGGGGCAAGTGCTGTTAGCGAGCACCTATGAAGGCCGGAACGGTACACGACGGGGTGGGTGGCCAGCACCACGCCTGGCCGCATTTGTCTCCCCAGTGGCGATGTTTACTACACACCGCACCAGGTGCTCACGCACATACATACACCCACCAGCACTAACTTTCCAGAAGTGAAAAATGCGCAAAAAATTGCAGCATGACACATGAGATCACCGTGGTGTGTATAGATGGGGTACTTTATTACATGCGGTACTTCATGACAAGCGATTGAATCAGCGGACCAACTCAAACCACCAACAGAGCAACCAAAACCCAACTGAACTCACCACGTCGATTCGCAGCAACACAAACACACGCACACACACGCGCGCCCCGGCACACCCCGTCTGATCAAAGCGACCGCGACTGCAAATCATCCCCAGGGGTCAAATCGGTCTGATTGGGAGGATTTTTTGGAGAGTGCGAATCGCCAGTGTGTGAGTTTTTGAGGGTTGTTTTGGGCACTTTGTCCGATGTTTCGCTGAACGTGCATTTTTAGGAACTGAATGTTACGTTTTGGGTTTTTTTTTCCTTTCTGAAACGAAAAATATTCGATTCCTGAACATAAGTCAACACCCCCCCCCCCCCCCCCCCCCCCCACAAAGAGGCCACACGGGAGATCCAAAACACCTCCAGTTACGCCGTTACTTTGGGACAGATTTAGACAAATTCGTTGTCAAAAGCACGCGAATCAGCACCACCCCCCCCCCCCCGGCAGGGTGCGGTTCGGCACTCAGGAGGCTGTGGGGTAAACTGCAGTGGGTTATGGGGATTGCCCCGTGTGGCTGTGAGCGCCACGCGCGAGAGGGGTCTCCCTCCTCAGTATTTGCCCGCGTAGCCGTAGCCTCCGTAGCCTCCGTAGCCGCCATAGCCTCCAGCGACAACGGTGCGGCAGGGAGAGGGGCACCCCTTGAACTTGGTGACCGGGCACGGCTCGCACTTCTTGGGCACGCACGGCGGGCATGGGGTGCAGCACGGCGACTTGGGGCACCGCGGGGCGCACGGCGAGACGCAGCCCTTGGCCGGGTACGCGTAGTGGCCCTGCGCGTGCGTGTAGGTGCTCAGGTGGCCGTGGCCCAGGCCGTAGCCGCCGTAGCCGTGGTGGCCGTAGCCCAGAGCTTGGCCGTAGCCTCCGTGGCCGTAGCCTCCATGGCCATAGCCTCCGTGGCCATAGCCCGCGTGGCCATAGCCTCCGTGGCCATAGCCCCCGTGGCCGTAGCCTCCGTGGCCATAGCCTCCGTGGCCGTAGCCCCCGAGGCTGTAGCCATGGCCATAGCCCCGGTGGCCGGAGCAGCTGCGGCCGCAGGCCTCGCCAGCGGCCTCCTGGTTCTCGGCGGTCATCTCGATGATGGGGGTAATGTCTGGGCAGCTGCGAGCATCGGGTAGGGAGGCGGTAGAGCCGTGGGGGGGGGGGGGGGGAATACAAAAAAAACCATCGAGGGGGTGAATCCCGAAGGGCGCCTCCCAGCAAAGGTGGAAGCACATTGTGAAGACAGTGTTATACATATTGTATCTCAGCATTGCAATGCATGACATTAGATGTAAGGCGAATTGAGTTGCAAACTCTACTATACCTGTCTGTGTCTCTGGGCATTGAGGTGTATATGCTTGTGTGTGTGCCAGTGTACTGTGATTATGTGTGTGATGCCTGTGTAACTGATAATGCGTGTTGTTGTAATACCTGTGTAATTAATCATGTGTGTGTATTATGCGCGTGTAACTGTGATTGTGTGTGTAACTATCAGTATGTGTGTGTGAGTTGTGTGTAATTGTGAGTATGTGTGTGTGATGCGTGTGTAACTGTGACTATGCGTGTACTCACCTGGCCATAGTCGAACGCAGTTGGAGCTTGGTGGATGAGCGACGGGGAGCTGTGACTTTCTGATGAGCTGACAGATCGCTGTGACTTCTCTCCGCTTCTATGGGCCCCTTTATACCCTGAGACGGCGGGGGGGCTGGGGGGGGCACGCCCCCCACGCCACCCCCCCCCCCCCCTTCCCCATCATCCCACATCCTGAGCTGTGGATTAACCTCGCAAAACTGTCGCTACTTACAAGCCAAGAGCCAAGCGTGGTGACCGTTCTGAACCGCGCCCGTAATCCTCTGAACCACGCCCGTAAATGTGCAACGTCCATCAGCGTTCACTACGATTTGCCCGATGATGCTGCTTGATGTAATTACCAGCGAAACGCCGAACTCAAATTGTAAACGTTGTGGATTTACTCTCTCCAACACACTGGTGGGCTGAAGTAGTACACTACAATCTACACTACACACTACATTGTACACTACACTATACACTACATTGTACACTACACTATACTTTAATTACACTATACACTACACACTACAGTTTACACTACACTATACACTATACTAGTGTAGTGACATCGCTGGATGGCACCATGCAGTGGATGCATTACCGGCCCTAGAGGGCACGGTGTGTGGGTGCCGACCTAAGCGGAAGGTCGTGTGAGGCCATGGCAGTCTGGTTGACCCGGGAGGACACGTGACTGGTTAAGATGACATGGGGGGTCATGTGATTGGGATTTAGGTCCTTCCCGATTATTCTGGAAGGCGGACGTGGCCAAGGGTTGAGCCGGCCATGCCGCAGAGAATATAAGCCGAGTCCCGAGAGAGAGCGGGGTTGTTCATCACGGGAAAGAAACCCTTCGTCGACGATCTCCGTCTATCGAGTCTTCCAGCACGTGGACCCGGGCAGATGCTGTTGGTCCCCGGTCCGTAGTAACAGTTACGTGGTAACTCGTGTAGTTAGCCAGGTGGTCATTACCCAAGGTTGTTATTGTGTTAAGGGGAAGTGTTACCCCGTGTGTTGGAACTAAATAAATGCGCTGTCTCCAAAGTCTACGTCTGCGACTCAGTTGAACCCACTACACTAGTAACTAATCGGCGCGTTTTGTTTATGTGACAAAACTTACTGGCTGTGTCGGGTGGTGGAGGGTTACGACGCATTTTTACTTACGCGATCTAACCCACGAAAGCTTGCTACGTGTTAATCTGAACCTTCATATTATCCTCTATCTGCCCATCTGTACGTGGACTGTAATACACACGAGGGGGTGGGGGCCCACGATAACTCTGGTACAGAGAGGTGCAACTCAAGTGCAGAGTTGTTGTTGTTATTAGTTGTTGTTCTTGCTCTCAGGCACTGCAGCCCGGCACTCATTGATCGGAGGTGCGGAGCAGGTGTGAGATGGACCTTGTCAAATGTTGAAGCCTCCAATGAGCACGATTGGCTACGTACGGTGCAAAAGAAGTTCAACATAACATGCAGCAGTAGCAGAGTTATCCATAATAGAGGGGTTTTTTTTGTTGTTGTTGGGTTCGAACGCTTAAATATAAATGTGTGTCGTTAAACCGGCCACCACCCGACACGGGCAATTAGTAAAGGTTTGTCACATAAAGCGTGTCAATTCGTTAATAGTTCAGCACCACAGCGGTTGTGTGTTGGAGAGTAAACCCACAACATCACCAATTGAAAATGTATAATTGTTGATGTTGTGTAGATGTTGTGGGTTCACTTTCCAACACACAGCCGGTGTGCAGCTCAACTAGTAACGAGTTGGCCACGTTTTGTTTAGGTGACAAACCTTCACGATCCATAATACAGGATTTTTTTGTGTTAGATTGCGTAAATATATAATTGTGTCGTTTACGAATTGGCTGTCGGGTAGTGACGGGATTAACGACACAACAAATATATTTATGTGATCTAACCCCCAGGTACTAATTTGAGGCTGAGTCGACCTAGGGGAGACCTATTACCGGTACCAGATAATTGCCACTGGTGTTGTCCATGAGCAGGAATCGAACTCGGGTCGCCAGGTTCGTATCGCAGCCACGTTAACAGCTACACTACCACTCCCCACACACGCAATGTACAACCACAAAACAAAAAGATCCCCCGTATAGCCTTAACAGACTGTAGGGGCAAGTGCTGTTAGCGAGCACCTATGAAGGCCGAAACGGTACACGAGGGGGTGGTTGGCCAGCACCACGCCCGACCGCCTTTGTCTCCCTAGTGGAAATGTTTATACACCGCATCAGGTACTCATTTGAGGCTGAGTCGACCTAGGAGAAGCCCGGGACCGGTTCAGATAATCATCACTGGTGTTGGCCATGAGCGGGAATCGAACCCAGGTCGCCAGGGTCATAGCGCAGCGCGCTAACCGCTACACTATCGCTTCCCACTACAAACACAAACCCACGCACACACACATCCACATGCACACACACATACACAAGCACACACACATACACACTCACACACACATACACACGCGCACACACATATTCACTAGCGCACACACATACATAGGCATACATGCACACACAAAGATAAAGACAAAGATCCCCCATATAGCCTTAACAGACTGTAGGGGCAAGTGCTGTTAGCGAGCACTTATGAAGGCCAGAACGGTATACACACACTCACACACACATACACACGCACACACAACCAAACACACATACAAATGCTTCTTCTTTAGGGATCCCTCGTAGTCGAGTATGATTTCCCTCCAGGTGTCACTTGTCCGTGTTGTGAGGTGGGCCTGGCTGGCCACGGGTCCTGAGATGGCTGAGTAGGCCAATCCGTGACCTGCAGATCTTAACACAGTGGGGGCAGGGATGGTCCATCCTGGAGCTCCCACTCGTTGTCTCTGTCTCTGGTGTGTGTGTGTGCTTTGCGGCGTGCTCTTTTCCTGGCTATCAACTCTCATTGTTCGGCCTCAAAGTGCTGAGTTCCATTGCTTATTTTTGCCCTCCATGATGGTCAATCAAGAGGATACATTTCCCAGTAGTTTGGATCTACGTGGCCTTACTCGACGTGCGTTTTAAGGTTGTCACGAAAACGCTTCCTTTAACCTCCGGGGGCACGTGATCCATCCCTGAGCTGGGAATAGAAGATGTGCTTAGGAAGCCTCACAAGGTGACCTGCCCTTCTGAGTTTATACTTCATGATGATGGCCTCTATGCTGGATGAGTTGAATCGCTCCAGGACACTGCTATTAGTTTGTCTTTCTTCCCAGGCGATGTTTAGTATTTTCCTGAGATAGCATTGATGAAACATTTAGATATATTTTATGTGTTTACGATAGGTGGTCCAGGTTTCTGCACCACCCAAGAGGGTTGGAATTATCACAGCATTATACACAGCCACTTTGGTCTTGGTGGTAATGTCGTGGTCTTCAAAGACCCTGTTCTTAAGTTTCCCAAAGGCAGCACTAGCTCGGGCAATCCGATGTTGGATTTCATAATCAATTAAGGCATTGCTAGAGAGATGGCTGCCTAAGTATGTGAAACCGGGAACGTTTCCCAGTATTGCATTGTTGGTAGTGATTGTACGGGGTGGTAGGTGTCCTCCCGGAGGATGTTGGAAAAGGATCTTTGATTTGCTGGTATTGAGTGTTAGACCCATCCTGCTGTAAGCATCTGTAAATATCTTGACGATGACCTGAAGGTCAGCTTCTGAGCAGACACTGACTTGGCATCAGCATATTGGAATTCAATAACGGATGTGATTGATGTTTTCGACTTGGCTCTGAAACGGTTGATGTTAAATACGTCCCTGTCTGTCCTATATGTGATATGTATGCCCCTCTAGGAAGTCTGTTCTCTGTCAGATGAAGGATTCCCGCCAGGAAGATGGAGAAAAGAGTTGGTGCAATAACGCAGCCTTGCTTCACACCGGTCCTTACTACGATTGGCTCTGAGGTTTCACCATGCGAGAGGATAGCAGCCTTCATACAGTTATGCAAAAGACGAAGGATGTTAACAAATTTGGTTGGGCAGCCATATCTTAGAAAGATTCTCCACAGTGCTTCACGATTAACATAATCCAAAGCTTTAGTCAAATTGAAGAAGGCCATGTACAATGGTAGTCTCTACTCCTGGCACTTCTCTTGGAGTTAACGGGCTGAGAAGATCATGTCTGAGGTTCTCCTGCAAGGTCGAAAACCACTCTGCAATTCAGGAAGGAGTTTTTCAGCAAGTGGTAGAAGTCTGTTTAGTAGGATTCTTTCAAGTATTTTTCCAGCGGTTGCAAGAAGAGATATTTCGCTGTAGTTATCGCGGTCTGACTTGTCACTTTTTTTGAAGATGGTGACAATGATGGCATCTTTCAGTTCGTTGGGAAGGTTTTCATCAATCCATATCCTGGCCATGAGGAAGTGCAAGAGTTCTAGTAGGCGTTGTCTTCCACGTTTGTAAATCTCAGCAGGAATCTGGTCTAACCCACTGGCTTTGTTATCTTCCATCTGCTTGACAGCTCTAGCCACTTCAAGCATCGTTGGTTCTCAAGCTAAATCCTCAGTGGGAGAGTGTTGCAGGATCTCACTGAATATGGAAGCGTCTACAATAGCGTTGCAGTTGAAAAGAGTGCTGAAGTGATCCTGCCAGCGAGAAATGATATAATTTTTGTCTTTGAAGATTTCTGTTCCATCTTTAGGCTGTAGTGGTGCAAGGCCCTGTTTTGATGGTCCATATAAGACTTTGGTTGCTTTAAAATTGTTACGTGGGTTATTGGAATCTGCAAGATGTTGTATTTCTTCTGCTTTGTTTCTGAACCAGTTGTTCTTCAGTTCCCGAATTTTAGTTTGTACTTCCGATTTGGCCTCCTTATATGATTGTTTTTTCTGTCTCAACTGTGTGTGTTATTGCCAGGCGATGAATGCTGCCCGCTTCTTGTCAATGACGCCTGTGATTTCCTGGTCGTTGTCATCAAACCAGTCACAGTTTTTCCTTCTTGTGTAGCCAATGGTGTTTGTGGCACATTAGGAATGAACTACTCTTTTAATTATTTCCTCGTGCAGCACGGGGAAATGGTTTCGTGAAGGTCCTTATGTGCTGTGCATTCCATCAATGCACGTGTGTACACCAGCATGCGATACTGAGTCAGGCCTGTAGGTGGCTGGCAAGGTTATTGAGTAACCTGACCTGGACACCAGTCACGTGGTTAATGGCGACTCGGTTGAGGATTGCTGTGTGACATGCGTGTTGTTGCATTTTACATTTAAAGGACACAACTGTTGATTTTGATAGTTATAGAAATGTTCTAGTCTTTAAGCTTGGCTTTCAATTGGTAGTTTGTGATATATTCAATAGGAGGGGATGTAGCACTGTATACTGTAAAGGATGACGGACTCTAGTAAATACTGGTAATTCTCTAACCCGAATACTTTTTATTTTATAACCATGCCCATGTTTCCAGAATATGGCTACTTGCAATAATATTAAGAAGAGAACATATGCATGGTAGTAAGCTGTACAATGGTGACAAGTACAGTACATATACAGTTCATATACAATACATATAGTGGGTGTAAGTATTCAATATAAATGGATGGTATAGATAGACATACAGCTTAGGATTAAAGTAATATTCGAATAGTGAAGTGGAAAGGTTATGATTAAAGACAAAGATGGTTTTTCAGTAATTGAATTGGATTTAAGGGAAACTGTATTGATAAAACTGACCTGTACACCAGTCACGTGGTTAATGGCGACTCGGTTGAGGATTGCTGTGTGACACGCATGCTGTTGCATTTTACAGGTTACCACAATAAATGTGTTTGCCCTCGATTTGGAGCACCTGCCCACGTCCTTCATTTCGAGTGTGCAACATTTTCACAGCTGGTTTTAACTGCAGTCTTCAATTCTGTCCAGTACTCATGAACATTTCCTGATGCCTGGTTGGTGCTGAGTCACGGAGCTAGTTGTTCTTTCAGTCGGCCTGTACTGTTGGGTCTTTCAGTCTGGTTACATTGAGTCTGTTCCTCTATAGCTTTGGTCGGTTGATGCGTTTGTGGTTTAGTTTGAGAGTCATCACTGACCGAATGAGTATGTGGTCAGGGCAGAAATCGTCTGCATTGATCAGGGCACGAGTGATGCAGACATCTGTGCTGTCAAGCTTCCTGACAATCATGTAATCCACTAAATGCCATTTGTGTGATCGAGGGTGACACCAGGAGGTCTTAAGGCTTATTCTTTTGCCTGAATATGGTGTTGGTGATTGTCAGGTCATGCTCATAGCAGGTTGTCAGAAGAAGGTGACCATTGGAGTTGAACTTTCCAACTCCCTCTTTACCACTTACACCATTCCACGTTTGATGGTCTCTCCCAACGCGAGCATTGAAGTCGCCGAGGAGAATCAGCTCGTCAGTTTTTGGTGTACTCTGGAGGATTTGGTTGAGTTGGCTGTAGTAGGTCTCCTTGGTGTCTTCTTCAGAGTCCAGTGTTGGTGCATAGGTGCTGATGATGGTTGCATGTTGGTCTTTTGCGAGTTTCAGGCGTAGGGTCATAAAACGCTCATTGATACCTATTGGGAGCTCCCTTGAGATGCTGATGGGCACGTTGTCTATTGCAAACCCTACGCCATACAGGCGTCGTTCATGTGCTGGTTTAGCCTCCCAAAATATGGTGTAGCCTCCACTTAGCTCGGTCATTTGGCCTTCATCCGCCAGATGGGTTTTGCTAAGGGCGGCAATATCGATATTAAATCGTCTCAGTTAGGCTGCCACAAAAGCTGTTCGGCGCTCTGGACGTTGCGAGTTTGGGTTGTCTGTGAGGGTCCTGACATTCTAGGGTCCAATGTTTAGGTTGTATTTATTTTTGTTTCGACCGCAATTATTGATGCTCCCTCTGGTCACGGTAAGCCAGACAGGATGTTGTGATGCAGGCTATGTTTAGGGTACCTTTTCTAGCCCCCTCCCCATTTGGGGTGAGCAGAATAGATCCCTGTTGGCTGCTCAGTCATAGCTACAGCTGCCAGGATGCACTCCTGCCGAATTCGAGTGAATGACGACCTTATAATAGCTGCCGCCTTGGTGCTGGGTTGTGACTAGGAGCTTCTAGCTGCATAGGCCTAACAAGCTCGCCACCTGCCAATCGCCCAAGGGCTTTGGGTATGTAGTGTGGTGGTGCGATGGCATAGTTTCACTGGAGGGTGCCAGGGCATGAATTAATTTACGTGTAGTGTCTGTTGCACACCAGCTACTGCACGGGGCTTAACCAGGAACCAAGCCTTGATCCAATGGCAAGGCAGACAACCAAGATGATTGGAAGGCTTGTTTTGAAGCATCAAACATCCAGTTGCTCCTCCGCCATATGCTGCTGGCCATCTGGACCATAGCTCATCTGCCTCATCGAGGTGGGCCGTTGGCCACTTGCTATCTACCCAGGATTTTATCAGGGTTTACTCCCTTAGTCTAAGTGGCTAACCAGAGCCCCATTAGCCAGCGCATTTCCAGGTGAGCCCAAACAGGCCTTCATAGTTACCGAAGCGGCCCAGGTGGTCGAACCACCCAACATATTTCGCCCTGTCTCGCAAACCTGTACTTTACCTGTTACCACCTCCCACGCCTTGGACAAGGGGATGGTTTTTGTGAGGCACATACACAAGCACACACACATAGGCACACACACATGCACAAGCACGCACCCCTCCAACCCACCAGCACTAACTTTCCAGAAGTGAAAAATGCGCAAAGCATTGCAGCATGACACACGAGATCACTGTGGTGTGTATAGATAGGGTACTTTATTAGATGTGGTACTTCATTACAAGCGATTGAATCAAGCTGAAACGGGACGGCGTTCATCACCAGCACTTCAGCGGACCAACTCAAACCACCAACAGAGCAACTAAAATCCAACTGAACTCACCACGTCGATTCGCAGCAACACACACACACGCACGCACACACAAACACACGCATGCCCCGGCACATTGCGTCTGATCAAAGTGACCACAACTGCAAATCACCCCCAGGGATCAAATCGGGCTGAGTGGGAGGAGTTTTGGGAGTGTGCGAATCTCCGACGTATGTGAGTGTTTTAAGGGTTGTTTTGGGCACTATGTCCGACGTTTCGCTGAACGTGCTGGGCACTTTATCAGGAACTGAATGTTACGTTTTGGGTTTTTTAAATTCTGAACTGAATAATTTTTGATTCCTTAACATCAGTCAACCTCACCCCCCCAAAAAAAGGCCACACATGAGATCCAATGCACCTACAGTTACGCCGTTACCTTGGGACAGATTTAGACGAATTCACCAAACTCTCTAAAAACAACCAGCGCGACCAGCCAGCCGGCAGACAGACGGGGAGGGGCGGTCGTTGGCAGACAGAGCGCGAATTGGCACCCACCCACCCCCCAGGTGCGGTTAGGCACTCAAGGGGCTGTGAGATAAACTGCAGCGGATTATGGGGATTTCCCGTGTGGCTGTGAGCGCTATGCACCCACGTGCCCACGCGACACTCAACTCAAGTGGGACCACCTCAGTATTTGCCCGCGTAGCCGTATCCTCCATAGCCGCCATAGCCTCCGGCGACGACGGTGCGGCAAGGAGAGGGGCACCCCTTGAACTTGGTGACCGGGCACGGCTCGCACTTCTTGGGCACGCATGGCGGGCATGGGGTGCAGCACGGCGACTTGCGTGCCGGTTGGCACACCTTGGGCGCCGGGGTGCAGCACGGCGACTTGGGGCACCGCGGGGCGCACGGCGAGACGCAGCCCTTGGCCGGGTACGCGTAGTGGCCCTGCGCGTGCGTGTAGGTGCTCAGGTGGCCGTGGCCCAGGCCGTAGCCACCGTAGCCGTGGTGGCCGTAGCCCAGAGCTTGGCCGTAGCCTCCGTGGCTGTAGCCTCCATGGCCATAGCCTCCGTGGCCGTAGCCTCCATGGCCATAGCCTCCGTGGCCATAGCCTCCGTGGCCATAGCCTCCATGGCCATAGCCTCCGTGGCCATAGCCTCCGTGGCCGTAACCCCCGTGGCCGTAGCCTCCGTGGGTGTGGCAGCTGCGGCCGCAGGCCTCACCATCGGCCTCCTGGTTCTCGGCAGTCATCTCCATGGTGGGAGTAATGTCTGGGCAGCTGCGAGCATTGGGTAGGGAGGCGGTAGAGCGGGGGGGGGGAATACAAAAATAACATCGAGGGGGTCAATTTCCGATGGGTGCCTCCCGGCAAAGGTGGAGCGAAAGGGTGCAGGCATAATGTCTGAAGTCTTCAGACTCAGAATTTTTCAGAAGGGTCCTGTTGCGATTGGTCCTCCCCTAGGTCGACTCAGCATTAAACAAACAAAAGTTAACCTCATGCGCTAGCACCGGCGGAGACAAAAACAGTCATGCATGGCGCTGGCCGCTACCTTAATAGGTGCTCGCTAACAGCCCAGTAAATAGATGACGGGGGTGGGGGGGGGGATGTAGAAACGTCATTCCCCTACTGGAATGGCAATTTCCAGACCGTTGCCGTGTAGGGACAGCTACCATTGGGGGGTGGTGTCCCGGAGGGGAGGGGAGGGGGTCCCGGGGGGTGGGGGGGGGAAGTATTCCCCTCGGATACATTGCAGCTAGAAGCACATTGTGAAGACAGTGTTATACATACTGTATCTCAGCATTGCAATGCATGACATGAGATGTAAGGCGAATTGAGTTGCAAGCTCCACTATACGTGCAAATCCGTATTGTCCGTGTCTCTGGGTATTGAGGTGTATATGTTCGTGTGTGTGCCAGTGTACTGTGATTATGTGTGTCGTGTGAATGTGTGTGTTATGTGTGTACTGTGACTATGTGTGTGTGTGATACGTGTGTAACTGTGATAATGTGCGTGTGTGTGTGTAATACCTGTGTAATTGATAATGTGTGTGTTTTGATGCTTGTGTAACTGTGGTCGTGTGTGTGTAAATATCAGTATGTATGTGTGATACGTGTGTAACTGTGACTATGCGTGTACTCACCTGGCCATAGTCGAACGGAGTTGGAGCTTGGTGGATGAGCGAGGGGGAGCTGTGACTTTTCTGATGAGCTGACAGATCGTTGTGACTTCTCTCCACTTCTCTGGGCCCCTTTATACCCTGAGACGGCGTGCGGGGGGAGGGGGGGTGCCACGCCCCCCACGCCACCCCCCCCCATCACCCCACATCCTGAGCTGTGGATTAACCCCGCAAAACTGTCGCTACTTACAAGCCAAGAGCCAAGCGTGGTGACCGTTCTGAACCGCGCCCATAATCCTCTGAACCACGCCAGTAAATGTGCACGTCCATCAGCGTTCACTACGATTTGCCCGATGATGCTGCTTGATGTAATTACCAGCGAAACGCCGAACTCAAATTGTCGTTGTGGATTTACTCTCCAACACACCAGTGGGCTGAAGTAGTACACTACATTTCGATTTAAAGCTTTCGGGACTGCAAGGATTCATCTTCTTTGGTTCTTTCGGTAAAGTCACGTAGAATGAGAATAAAATAATTAAATTAAATAAGACAATAAAATTCTCACGATGTTTCGGCCACAACACAAGTAGCCTTCTTCAGGTGAAGGAACAAAACTGTCGGGACGACAGAGCTTCAATGAACGCTGTTAAGATTCGTAGCGTCTTTTTAAGCTGGTTGAGAGAAGTAAGGCACCTTGACAAAGGGGTTTACATGTCAAACAGGAAAATTTAGCATTGAAATAGTTGAGGGATTGGCTTGTGACTGGTCACAGAAATAGTTATGTTAATGTCAAAGCCTACACATCCACAGAGGCACCTAGTACAAATCAAACAGGAGAATTTAGCATTGAAATAGCTGAGGGATTAGCTTGTGACTGGTTACAGAAAAAGCTATGTTAAAGTCAAAGCCTACACATCCACAGAGGCACCTCGTACATGGACGCCAAAGGGGCTGCAACAAATCAACTATCATACAGTAAACCGATGTGAAAAACCTAAGTTTAAATTACATCAATGTAATAAATGTACTCAATATATTCTTCAATAAGCTGTGCTATTAACAGCAACTGGGTATACATTACACTATATAATGAATACCATATAGTGAACTAATAAAAAACTAAAATATAAACTACCTTAATGATATCAATAAACTCGATATATTCTCCAATCAGCTGAGCTACCAACAATGAGTCGTTATATATTACAATGCTTTATGGCAAGCTTCCCTTTTTGGATGTCTTAATTAAAAGGAGACCTGATGGTTCAATGAGCCACTCTGTCTGCAGGAAAGCTACCCATACAGATGCTTACTTGAAACCGGATTCCCACCACCATCCATCCCAGAAGAACTCCCTCATCAAGACTCTATACCATAGAGCCCAATGCATTTCCGACCAGGAACACATTACCAGTGAACTCAATCACGTACACCAGGCTCTCAGGGCTAATGGTTACTCCGACTACACAATCCGCAAAGCCATCACTCCAGTCATGAAGAAGGATCCTCTTGTGGAGCCACTCAAAACCATCACCTTACCCTACATTGCAGGGGTCACTAAAAATATCTCCAAAATCCTGAATAAACACAAGGTCCAGGTCCGATTCAACACAGTACATAAAATCCGTGATCTGGTTCCATCTGTAAAAAATGCTGTTCCAGACATACAGTACCCAGGCGTTTACAAACTAAAGTGCCTCTGTGGTAGTAGCTACATTGGAGAAACCAAACTACATATCTCGGACCCCATCCGCGAACATAAAGCAGACTTGAAACACCGGTAGAATGAACTCCTCTGCCGTGGCAGATCACTGTTATAATTCAGTGGGCTCACATGACATTGACTTCTCCAAGATGGAGGTTCTTTACAAGCCAACCGGCTACCATGAGAGATTCGTTCATGAGGCCATCCACATATACAAGCACAGAGACAATTTCTACCGAGAAGATGGATTCTGGCTTAGTAACCATTGGAAAGATGTTTTAAACCATTTCGGTTCTTAATAAATTGTATTTTACGGTGACCTTCAGAACGCAGCTCTTTCGCTGGCATTGACTCTTAATACCTCTCACACCACGGTTAATGGTATGGTTTATAACATGGAGTATAACAGCGCCTCGCAGCTGTTTCTCTCCTCCCCCCTCCGTTCCGACCATGGATGGACTCGTCTGTCTGAACGGGGCTTGTAGCTGTCCGTGGTGCTGAGGGTAAGAATCCACCCATTTTTTCGCCATAAAGCATTGTGATATATAACGTCTTATTGTTTGTAGCTCAGCTGATTGGAGAATATATAGAGTTTATTGATAACATTAAGGTAGTTTATATTTTAGTTTTTTTATCTGTTTACTATATGGTATTCATTATATAATGTAGTGTATACCCAGTTGCTGTTAATAGCTCAGCTTATTGAAGAATATATTGAGTACATTTATTATATTGATGTAATTTAAACTTAGGTTTTTCACATCGGTTTACTGTATGATAGTTGATTTGTTGCAGCCCCTTTGGCGTCCATGTACGAGGTGCCTCTATGGATGTGTAGGCTTTGACTTTAACATATATTTTTCTGTAACCAGTCACAAGCTAATCCCTCAGCTATTTCAATGCTAAATTCTCCTGTTTGATTTGTACTAGGTGCCTTTGTAGATGTGTAGGCTTTGACTTTAACATAGCTGTTTCTGTGACCAGTCACAAGCCAATCCCTCAGCTATTTCAATGCTAAATTCTCCTGTTTGACATGTAAACCCCTTTGTCAAGGTGCCTTACTTCTCTCAACCAGCTTAAAAAGACGCTACGAATCTTAACAGCGTTCATTGAAGCTCTGTCGTCCCGACAGTTTTGTTCCTTCACCTGAAGAAGGCTACTTGTGTTGTGGCCGAAACGTCATAAGAATTTTAATGTCTTATTTTTTAATTATTTTATTCTCATTCTACGTGACTTTACCGAAAGAACCAAAGAAGATAGTACACTACACTCTACACTACACACTACACTATACACTTCACTACACTATACTCTACATTACACTATACACTACACACTACAGTATACACTACACTATACACTTTACTAGTGTAGAGGAGTGAAATACGCGGTGCGCACAGTTAACCGAGGGCAACTGAGGGCAAACAGATGCGCGTGTGCAACTTGAGGTTGCACGGACAAACCGCCACCTAATTAAGGGGAGAAGCGGGGGGTGCGAACGGGGTCGAGCGGGTGTGCACGTTGAGACAGGAGGTGTTGCCAGGCAAGCGGGAGATAAGGGTTGATTGATGGGCCAACAGACGCCGGCCTGGCGGGAGCTAAAGAGACGCGCGAGAGGTCTCGGAAAATGAGCAGAGAGATATAAGGGTGTGTGTGTGTGTGTGAGCCGAGAGGGAGTTGTTGTTGCCGGGGACAAGAGTGAAGACATCTCGCCGCTGCCGCTCGCGCCGTCGCCGGGCGAAGGGCAGCGGCGGGGGTGGAGATGTAGAGTCGCTGTGTGCGGAGATGCTGTGTGTGGAGTCGCTGTGTGCGGAGTCGCTGTGTGCGAAGACGCTGAGAACAGAGCTGCTGAGTGCAGGATAAGTGAGGTGGAAGGTAGATAAGAGGGGGGAGAAGCTAAAACATAAATGACCGTATAGATAGTTATAGGAGTGCCTACAACTGGTGCACGAATAGGTAAGTGCAAGCAGGAGACTTGTTACAACGTGTCAGTGTGAGTAATTTTTTAAGACACTAAGCAAAGTAACTAATCTTCGTGTTTTGTTTACCTGACAAAATTTACCGGCAGTGTCGGGTGGTGGAGGGTTATGACACATTTATACTGACGCGATCTAACCCACGAACGCCTGCTACGTGTTAAACTGACCATTCATATTATCCTCTATCTGCTCATCTGTATGTGGTCTGTAATACACACGAGGGGGCGGGGGCCCACGATAACTCTGGAACAGAGAGGTGCAACTCAAGTGCAGAGTTGTTGTTGCTATTAGTTGTTGTTCTTGCTCTCAGGCACTCCAGCCCGGCACTCGTTAATCGAAGGTGCGGAGCATAGGCGAGATGGACCTTGTCAAATGTTGAAGCCTCCAATGAGCACGATTGGCTACGTACGATGCAAATGAAGTTCAACATAACACGCAGCAGTAGCAGGGTTATCCATAATGGAGGCGAGTTTTTGTTGTTGTTGGGGTTCGATCGCGTAAATATAAATGTGTGTTTGTAAATCTAAGCAGGAATCTGGTCTAGCCCACTGGCTTTGTTGTCTTTCATCTGCTTGACAGCTCTAGCTACTTCAAGCATCTTTGGATCTCCAGCTAAATCCTCAGTGGTAGAGTGTTGCGGAATCTCACTGAATGTGGAAGCGTCTACAATGGCGTTGCAGTTGAAAAGAGTGCTAAAGTGTTCCTGCCAGCGGGAGGTGATTGCATTTTTGTCTTTGAAGATTTATGTCCCATCTTTAGGCTGGAATGGTCCGAGGCTCTGTTTTGTTGGTGCATTTAATACTTTGGTTGCTTTAAAAATTGTAATGTGGGTTATTGGAATCTGCAAGATGTTGAATTTCTTCTGCTTTGTTTCTGAACCAGTTGTTCTTCAGTTCACGCATTTTTGTTTGTACTTCCGATTTGGCCTCCTTATATGATTGTTTTTCTGTCTAAACTGTTTGTGTTGTTGCCAGGCGATAAATTCTTTCCGCTTCTTGTCAATGAAGCCTGTGATTTCCTGGTCGTTGTTATCAAACCAGTCACAGTTTTTACTTCTTGTGTAGCCAATGATGTTTGTGGCACATTAGGAATGGACCACTCTTTTATTTATTTCCTCGTGCAGCACGGGGAAATGGTTTCGTGAAGGTCCTTATGTGCTGTGCAGTCCATCAATGCACGCGTACACCAGCATGCTATACTGAGTCGGGCCTGTAGGTGGCTGGCAGGGTTATTGAGTAACCTGATCTGGACACCAGTCACGTGGTTAATGGCGACTCGGTTGAGGATTGCTGTGTGACATGCGTGCTGTTGCATTTTACAGGTAAAGGGCACCACTGTTGAATTTGATAGTTATGGAAATGTTCTAGTCTTTAAGTTTGGCTTTGAATTGGTAGTTTGTGATATATTCAATAGAAGGGGATTTAGCCCTGTACACTGTAAAGGATGACAGACTCTAGTTACTACTGGTAATTCTCTAACCCGAATACTTTTTATTTTATAACCATGCCCATGCATCCAGAATATGGCTACTTGCAATAATATTAAAAAGAGAACACATGTATGCTAGTAAGATGTACAATGGTGACAAGTACAGTACATACAGTTCATATACAATACATGTAATGGGTGTAAGTATTCAATATAAATGGATGGTATAGATAGACATACAGCTTAGGATTAAAGTAATATTCGAATAGTGAAGTGTAAAGGTTATGATTAAAGACAAAGATGGTTTTTCAGTAATGGAATTGGGTTTAAGGGAAACTGTTATTGAGTAACCTGAAATGTACACTAGTCACATGGTTAATGGCGACTCGGTTGAAGATTGCTGTGTGACACGCATGCTGTTGCATTTTACAGATTAGCACAATAAATGTGTTTGCCCTCGATTTGGAGCACCTGCTCACGTCCTTCATTTCGAGTGTGCAACATTTTCACAGCTGGTTATAACTGCAGTCTTCAGTTCTGTCCAGTACTCATGAACATTTCCTGATGCCTGGTTGGTGCTGAGTCTTTCAGCTAGTTGTTCTTTCAGTCCGCCTGTACTGCTGGGTCTTTTAGTCTGGTTACATTGAGTCTTTCCTCTATATCTTTGGTCGGTTGATGCCTTTGTGATTTAGTTTGAGAGTCATCACTGACCGAATAAGTCTGTGGTCAGTCCAGAAATCGTCTGCATTGATCAGGGCACGAGTGATGCAGACATCTGTGCTGCAAAGCTTCCTGACAATTACGTAGTCCACTAAATGCCATTTGTGTGATCGAGGGTGGCACCAGGAGATTATTAAGTCTGTTCTTCTGCCTGAATATGGTGTTGGTGATTGTCAGGTCATGCTCATAGCAGGTTGTCAGAAGAAGGTGACCATTGGAGTTGACCTTTCCAACTCCCTCTTTACCACTTACACCATTCCACGTTTGATGGTCTCTCCAAACTCTAGTATTGAAGTCACTGAGGAGAATCAGCTTGTCAGTTTTGGTGTACTCTGAAGGATTTGGTTGAGTTGGCTGTAGTAGATCTCCTTGGTGTCTTCTTCAGAGTCCAGTGTTGGTGCATATGTGCTGATGATGGTTGCATGTTGGTCTTTTGCGAGTTTCAGGCGCAGGGTAATAAAACGCTCATTGATACCAATTGGGAGCCCCCTTGAGATGCTGATGGGCACGTTGTCTATTGCAAACCCTACGCCATACAGGCGTCGTTCATGTGCTGGTTTAGCCTTCCAAAATATGGTGTAGCCTCCACTTAGCTCGGTCAGTTGGCCTTCATCCGCCAGATGGGTTTTGCTAAGGGCGGCAATATGGATATTAAATCGTCTCAGTTAGGCTGCCACAAAAGCTGTTCGGCGCTCTGGACGTTGCGAGTTTGGATTGTCTGTGAGGGTCCTGACATTCTAGGATCCAATGTTTAGGTTGTATTTATTTTTGTTTCGACCGCAATTATTGATGCTCCCTCTGGTCACGGTAAACCAGACAGGATGTTGCTAGGCGGACTATGTTTAGAGTACCATTCTAGCCCCCTCTCCATTTGGGGTGAGCAGAATAGATCCTTGTGGGTTGCTCAGTCTCAGCTACAGCTGCCAGGATGCACTCCTGCCTAATCCGAGTGCATGACGATCTTCTAATAGTTGCCGCCTTGTTGCTGGGTTGTGACTAGGAGCTTCTAGCTGCATAGGCCTGCCCCGCTCGCCACTTTCTAATCGCCCAAGGGCTTTGGGTATGTAGTGTGGTGGTGCGATGGCACAGTTTCCCTGGAGAGTTTTAGTGCGTGAATTAATTTATGTGCAGTGTCTGTTGCACACCAGCTACCACACAGGGCTTAACCAGGAACCAAGCCTGGGTCCAATGGCAAGGCAGAAAACCAAGATGATTGGAAGGCGTGTCCTGAAGCACCAGACATCCAGTGGCTCCTCCGCCATATGCTGCTGCTCATCTGGACCATAGCTCATCCGCCCCATCGAGGTGGGCCATTTGCCACTTGGTATCCACCCAGGATTTTATCAGGGTTTACTCCCTTAGTCTAAGTGGCTAACCAGAGCCCCATTAGCCAGCGCGTTTCCAGGTGAGCCCAAACAGGCCCAGGTGGTCGAACCACCCAACATATCTCACCCTGTCTCGCAAACCTGTACTTTGCCTTTTTATTTAAAGCTTTCGTGACTGCAGTAATTCATATTCTTAGCTCTTTCGGTGAAGTAACGTTGAAGGGAAACAATAAAATAATAAAATATATGTAAAACAATAAAAATTCTCACGACGTTTCGACCATAACACAAACGGTCATCATCAGGTGTAAAAAACCAACAATAAAAATTCTCACGACGTTTCAACCATAGCACAAACGGTCATCATCAGGTGTGAAAAACCAACGGCAAGAAACAACGGAAAGAAACATTGTTTTTTGCCGTTGGTTTTTCACACCTGATGATGACCGTTTGTGTTACGGTTGAAACGTCGTGAGAATTTTTATTGTTGGTTTTTCACACCTGATGATGACCGTTTGTGTTATGGTCAAAACGTCGTGAGAATTTTTATTGTTTTATATATATTTTATTATTTTATTGTTTCCCTTCAACGTGACTGTAATTAACCTGTTACCACCTCCCACACCTTGGACGAGGGGATGGTTTTTGGGATGCACATACACAAGCACACACACACAGGCACACACACACAGGCACACACACATACACACGCACGCACCCCTCCGACCCACCACCACTTACTTTCCAGAAGTGAAAAATGCGCAAAGCTTTGCAGCATGACACACGAGATCACGTTGGTGTGTATAGATAGGGTACTTTATTAGATGTGGTACTTCATTACAAGTGATTGATTCAAGCTGAAACGAGACGGCGTTCATCACCGGCACTTCAGCGGACCAACTCAAACCACCAACAGAGCAATTTAAACCCAACTGAACTCACACACATGCAAGCACATACACACGCATGCACCGGCACACCACATCTGATCAAAGCAACCATGACTGCAAATCACCCTCCGATGTTTCGCTGAACGTGCTGGGCACTTTGTCAGGAACTGAATGTTACGTTTTGGGTTTTTTTATTTTCTGAAATAAATCATATTCGATTCCTGATCATAAGTCAACTCCACCCCCCAAAGAAAAGGCTACACGCGAGATCCAAAGCACCTACGGTGACGCCGTTACTTTGGGACAGATTTAGACGAAAAGAAACCCAACCAGCGCGACTGGCCAGCCGGCAGATGGACGGGGAGGGAGGGCGGTCGTTGGCAGACAGCGCGCGAATTGGCACCCACCCCACCCCGGGTGCGGTTAGGCACGCAGGTGGCAGTGGGATAAATTACAGCGGGTTATGGGGATTGCCCCGTGTGGTTGTGAGCGCTAAGTGCCCACGTGCCCACGCGATACCGGCGACTCTCAACTCGAGCGGGGCCACCTCAGTATTTGCCCGCGTAGCCGTAGCCTCCGTAGCCGCCATAGCCTCCGGCGACAACGGTGCGGCAGGGAGAGGGGCACCCCTTGAACTTGGTGACCGGGCACGGCTCGCACTTCTTGGGCACGCACGGCGGGCAAGGGGTGCAGCACGGCGACTTGGAGCGCCGCGGGGCGCACGGCGAGACGCAGCCCTTGGCCGGGTACGCGTAGTGGCCCTGCGCGTGCGTGTAGGTGCTCAGGTGGCCGTGGCCCAGGCCGTAGCCGCCGTAGCCGTGGTGGCCGTAGCCCAGAGCTTGGCCGTAGCCTCCGTGGCCGTAGCCTCCATGGCCATAGCCTCCGTGGCCATAGCCTCCGTGGCCATAGCCTCCGTGGCCATAGCCTCCGTGGCCATAGCCTCCATGGCCATAGCCTCCGTGGCCATAGCCTCCGTGGCCGTAACCCCCGTGGCCGTAGCCTCCGTGGCCGTAGCCTCCGTGGCCGTAGCAGCTGCGGCCGCAGGCTTCACCAGCGGCCTCCTGGTTCTCGGCGGTCATCTCCATGGTGGGGGTCGTGTCTGGGCAGCTGCGAGCAGTAGAGCGGTGGGGGGGGGGAATACAAAAACAACATCGAGGGGGTGAATTCCCAAAGGGCTCCTCCCGTCAAAGGTAGAGCGAAAGGGTGCACGCGTAATCTTCTTTGGTTCTTTCGGTAAAGTCACGTAGAATGAGAATAAAGTAATACATTGATAAAATAAAATAACACAATAATATTCTCACGACGTTTCGGCCACAACACAAGCGGCCTTCATCAGGTGAAGGGACGAGACTGTCTGGTAGGACGTGTAATGTTTGGAACGACTTCTGCAGTTCGACGGAACCAAGTACCCCCCCCCCCCCGCCCCCCCTGAAGTCTCCAGACTCAACTTTTTTCAGGAGGGTTCTATTGCATTTGGTCCTCCCCTAGGTCGACTCAGCATTAAAAAAACAAAGCTAACCTCATGCGCTAGCACCGGCGGAGACAAAAAACAGTCATGCATGGCGCTGGCCGCTACCTTAATAGGTGCTCGCTAACAGCCCAGTAAATAGATGACGGGGGTGGGGGGGGGTAGAAACGTCATCCCTCTACTGGAATGGCAATTTCCAGACCGTTGCAATGTAGGTACAGCTACCACTGGGGGGATCGTGTCCCGGGGGGGGGAGGGGGGAGTTCCTGGGGTGAGAGGGGGGGTCCCGGGGGGGGGGGGTCCTGGGGTGGGGGATCCCAGGGACGGGGAGGAAATCCCCTCGGACACATTGCAGCTAGAAGCACATTGTGAAGACAGTGTTATAAATACTGTATCTCAGCATTGCAATGCATTACATGAGATGTAAGGCGAATTGAGTTGCATGCTACACTATACCTGCAAATCCGTATCCGTATTGTCCGTGTCTCTGGGTATTGAGGTGTATATGTTCGTGTGTGTGCCAGTGTACTGTGTTATGTGCGCAGTGTGAATGTGTGTGTTATGTGTGTACTGTGACTATGTGTGGCGTTTGTGACCACCACAGTGGCTAAATGGGGGCTCTAGATGGGGGCGAGGGGCTGGTAACCCCTCCACCTTCAATAAATTACCACTAAACCACGTGTAAAATAATATCTAATTAATAAGCTTGTGCCGGAGGCTCCGGGGGGACAGGCGTCTATGACGTCTCCTGGCCAAACCCCATCTGGCGGAGCCAGGAGATTGAATCTTTACCCTCGGGGCTCCTCTAGAAACAACAAAAAACCACTACGTGTGCTCGGCCACAGTCATTCTCTCCCTTCTCTACGCTTGCGAAACGTGGACCCCCCTAATGGAACATCTCCGCCAGTTAGAAACATTTAGGCTGGCCTGCCTGCGATCAATCCTGGGTTTAACCAGGCTGGATTGTGTGAGGAGCTCACAAATCCTCGACAGATCTGGACAAAGTCCCATCGGTGAGCTCCTCCAGCAGGCAAGGCTGCGTTGGCTTGTCCATGTAGCCCACATGCCCAATCACCGCATGCCCAAGCAGCTTTTGTTCGGCCGGATCGAGGGGGTTAAACGGGCGCGGTACGGGCTAGAGTAGAGATGGAGTGATGTGGAACAGGAGGATGTGGAGCTTAGCGGACTTGCCGATGACTGGTACCAGTGGTGTCAAGATCAGCCTCTGTGGAGGAGGCTCGTGATGGCCGCTACTGGGCAGTTGGAAGCAGTCGCCCTCCAACAACAACAGAGGGCAGAGGAGCGACGCTCACAACAACGAGAAGAGCGCCGGGTGGCTAAACCACAGCAGGTTGGCAGAGTAGGGGGCACAGGTGGTGCATCAGCCAGTCATCTCGGTCAGTCGACCTGTGGCATCTGGGTCTGCCCCTTGACCTCCTGCCAGCGGGTGTTCGACACTTCACGTGGTCTCAAGGTGCACATAGCCTGGCACAAGCGTCGTGGTGACGTCACCGCCACTTAGTGTCGAATGGCGGTTGTTGTTGTGTCTAACTGTGATTATGTGTGTGTGTGTGATGCGTGTGTAACTGTGACTATGCGTGTACTCACCTGGCCATAGTGATCGGAGTTGGAGCTTGGTGGATGAGCGAGGGGGAGCTGTGACTTTCTGATGAGCTGACAGATCGCTGTGACTTCTCTCTGCTTTTATGGGCCCCTTTATACCCTGAGATGGCGGGGAGGCTGGGGGGGGGGGTGCCAAGCCTCCCACGCCACCCCCCCCCCCCCATCAGCCCACATCCTGAGCTGTGGATTAACCCCGCAAAACTGTCGCTACCAACAAACCAAGAGACAAGCGTGGTGACCATTCGGAACCACGCCCATAATCCTCCCGGGGGAAATGTGCAACGTCCATCAGCGTTCGCTACGATTTGCCCGATGATGCTGCTTGATGTAATTACCAGCGAAAAGTCGAACTCAATTTGTAAATGTTGTGGATTTACTCTCCAACACACCGGTGGGCTGAAGTAGTACACTACACTATACGCTACACTGCACACTACACTATACACTACACTATACATTGCACTATACTATACTACACACGAAACTATACACTACAATATATACTACACTATACACTACACTATACACTACACTATACATTGCACTATACCATACTACACACTAAACTATACACTACGCTATATACTACACTATACACTACACTATACACTACACTATACATTGCACTATACCATACTACACACTAAACTATACACTACACTATATACTACACTATACATTACACTATACACTACACGCTACACTAAACTAGTAACCAATCGGCGCGTTTTGTTTACGTGACAAACCTGGCTGGCTGTGTCGGGTGGTGGAGGGTTACGACACATTTACACACTCGCGCGATCTCACCCAAAAACCTTTATTATGAATTATATTGGTCACGAGAGCCCGCTACGTGTTAAACTGACCATTCATGTTATCCTCTATCTGCCCGTCTGTATGTGGTCTGTAACACACACGGGCGGGGGGGGGGGGCGATAACTCTCGTACAGAGAGGTGCAACTCAAGCAAGTGCAGAGTTGTTGTTATTGTCATTTGTTGTTGTTCTTGTTCTCACTCCAGACCGCCACTCGTTGATCAGAGGTGCGCAGCAGTTGAGAGATGGACCTTGTCAAATGTTGTAGCCTCTGATGAGCACCGATTGGCTACGTACGGTGCAAAAGAAGTTCAACATAACACGCAGCAGGAGCAGGGTTATCCATAATAGAGGGGAGTTTTGTTGTTGTTGAGTTAAATCGCGTAAATACAAATGTGTGTCGTTAAACCGGCCACCACCCGACACAGACAATTTTATCACGGAAACAAAGCGTTGCCAATTCGTTACTAGTTCAGCACCACAGCGGTTGTGTGTTAGAGAGTAAACCAACAACATCAACAATTGTAAATTTACGATTGTTGATGTTGTGTAGATGTTGTGGGTTCACTCTCCAACACGCAGCCGGTGTGGAGCTCCACTCGTAACGAGTTGGCCACATTCTTTGTACGTGACAAACCTTCACGATCCATAATACAGGGTTTTTTTTGTTTTGTTAGATCGCGTAAATATATAAATGTGTCGTTTTCGAATTGGCCGTGTCAGGTGGTGGCGGGTTTAACGACACAACCAATATATTTACGCGAACTAACCCCTCCCACCCCCCCCCCCCCCAACATAAAAAAACACCTCCATCGTGGAAAGTTCAACATTCGCACAAATACAATACACTGTCGCCCGGTTTCTGTATCGATAACGAAACACTTCCAAGCGCAGTAAAATACATTCCGTGTCGGGACAAGTGTTACAGAATCACGCCTGTTTCTCCGGTCGACACTAAACCACGTGGGATTGTACTTGAGCCTCGTGGGTTATTGCCAGGGCTTCACAGAGGTCATCATGATCATCCCCCCCTCCCCACCGCTGTAAGCCCGGTTGACTTGTTGCGGGGGCCAGTCGTTTAAGTCCAGCTGTTCAGTGTTGCAGTGAGATTCCACACCGATATCATCATCATCATGAGGAGCAGCAGTCAATTCGTGAACTCTGTAAAATATGTTGCAAGTACGCGTATACCGGACTGCGTAGACAAATACCGGTATGGACCGTGCTGCCGGCCTTCATCGGTGCTCACTAACAACGCTTGAGCTTGAAGTCTGTTGAGGCTGTACGGGGAATCTTTGTTGTTGGCTGCCTCCATCTCGATGGCTTCTGTGACGCTCATTATGAGCGGTAATGGTAGTTAGCCCAATGCCATAATTGCACACGCGAAGCCATTATCATAACCACCGTCATCATCATCATTCGAAAGCATCGCAGAGAGTGGGGTTTTAAACACCGCGAATGAGAAAAATACACAGTGAGCACGTGGGAATTGTTTTTAAGTAGATTTAAATCATAAAGTGAGCAGTCTGGGTCAATGCTGAGAAATAATAATGCAATGTTCATTGACAAAGAAAAAATAATAATGAAACAATGTTTATTCACAAAAAATGTATATACATGTACAAATACAAAGATCCCCGTATAGCCTGTAACAGACTTTTGGGGCAAGTGCTGTTAGCGAGCACTTTACGAAGGCCGGCACGGCACACGAGGGGGTGGGTGGCCAGCACCACGCCCGGCCGCCTTTGTCTCCCTAGTGGCAATGTTTACTACACACCGCAACAGGTACATATTTGAGGCTGAGTCGACCTAGGAGAGTCCCAGGACCGGTTCAGATAACCGTCATCTATAGAACGTGAAGAACCAGTGGCATCTACATCTGCAGAACGTGGAGAACCAGTGGCATCTACATCTGCAGAACGTGAAGAACCAGTGGCATCTACATATGCAGAACGTGAAGAACCAGTGGCATCTACATCTGCAGAACGTGAGGAACCAGTGGCATATACATCTACAGAACGTGAAGAACCAGTGGCATCTACATCTACAGAACATGAAGAACCAGTGGCATCTACATCTGCAGAACGTGAAGAAACAGTGGCATCTACAGAACATGAAGAACCAGTGGCATCTACATCTGCAGACCGTGAAGAACCAGTGGCATCTACATCTGTAGAACGTGACGAACCAGTGGCATCTACATCTGCAGAACATGAAGAACCAGTGGAATCGACATTTACAGGATAATATTCAACTTTTAAAACCATTCCTCGTGTTTAGTGTACACGCTGCACAACATGCTTGGAATAGACAGGAATAAACTTGGACTTACGAATAAATCGACTTACAAACAGAACACTGGAACCTAATTCGTTCTTACGTAGAGGAGTCCCAGTATGTATATATATAAAATCGCCATGTCCATCAGCATATCAGCCTCTCGGGACCGACGTTTTTCACACCTGGCTTCAACTTTGCTCAGCCTCATCAGCAGTGTGTGAAATAAAACAAATCAATAAACAACAAACGGACTTCGTTTTTAATAATTGAAACCCCCCCCCCCCCCCCCAGCTAGCCTCGAGGCGTCGTTTCCAGAAGGTTCCTGCCACATTTGGATGTTTCGGCCAATGTCCTGCCCGACTGCTCGTGTTGTAATCGCCACCATGGTGTCTAACGTTTTGCTGAAGGATCTCGGGGCGGTGGAGGGGGGGGGGCGGCAGCCCAAACAACTGCAAAACGTGAAGAACCAGTGGCATCTACATCTACAGAACGTGAAGAACCAGTGGCATCTACATCTACAGAACGTGAAGAATTAGTGGCATCTACATTTATAGAGCGTGAAGAACCAGTGGCATCTACATCTATAGAGCGTGAAGAACCAGTGGCATCTACATCTATAGAGCGGGAAGAACCAGTGGCATCTACATCTGCAAAACGTGAAGAACCAGTGGCATCTACATCTGCAGAACGTGAAGAACCAGTGGCATCTACATCTGCAAAACGTGAAGAACCAGTGGCATCTACATCTATAGAGCGTGAAGAACCAGTGGCATCTACATCTATAGAGCGTGAAGAACCAGTGGCATCTACATCTGTAGAACGTGAAGAACCAGTGGCATATACATCTATAGAGCGTGAAGAACCAGTGGTATCTACATCTACAGAACGTGAAGAACCAGTGGCATCTACATCTATAGAGCGTGAAGAACCAGTGGCATCTACATCTGCAAAACGTGAAGAACCAGTGGCATCTACACCTATAGAGCGTGAAGAACCAGTGGCATCTACATCTATAGAGCGTGAAGAACCAGTGGCATCTACATCTGCAGAACGTGAAGAACCAGTGGCATCTACATCTATAGAGCGTGAAGAATTAGTGGCATCTACATCTATAGAGCGTGAAGAACCAGTGGCATCTACGTCTACAGAACGTGAAGAACCAGTGGCATCTACATCTGTAGAACGTGAAGAACCAGTGGCATCTACATCTATAGAGCGTGAAGAACCAGTGGCATCTACATCTGCAGAACGTGAAGAACCAGTGGCATCTACGTCTACAGAACGTGAAGAACCAGTGGCATCTACATCTATAGAGCGTGAAGAACCAGTGGCATCTATGTCTACAGAACGTGAAGAACCAGTGGCATCTACATCTATAGAACATGAAGAACCAGTGGCATCTACATCTATAGAGCGTGAAGAACCAGTGGCATCTACGTCTACAGAACGTGAAGAACCAGTGGCATCTACATCTATAGAACATGAAGAACCAGTGGCATCTACATCTATAGAGCGTGAAGAACCAGTGGCATCTACGTCTACAGAACGTGAAGCACCAGTGGCATCTACATCTGCAAAACGTGAAGAATCAGTGGCATCTACATCTGTAGAACGTGAAGAACCAGCGGCATCTACATCTGCAGAATATGAAGAACCAGTGGCATCTACATCTGCAAAACGTAACGAATCAGTGGCATCTACATCTATAGAGCGTGAAGAACCAGTGGCATCTACATCTACAGAACGTGAAGAACCAGTGGCATCTACGTCTACAGAACGTGAAGAACCAGTGGCATCTACATCTATAGAACGTGAAGAACCAGTGGCATCTACGTCTACAGAACGTGAAGAACCAGTGGCATCTACATCTATAGAACATGAAGAACCAGTGGCATCTACATCTATAGAGCGTGAAGAACCAGTGGCATCTACGTCTACAGAACGTGAAGAACCAGTGGCATCTACATCTATA